GTTTACTTCTATTTTGCCTAATGTTTACTCTATTCGGTTTATCCAGTGGAAGCTTTTGGATAGTAAAATATTTATCAAACTAAATACTCCCTCCGTATCATAATAGATGATGTTATAGAGAAATTTTTTTGTTTCATAATCGAAGATGTTTTCAATTTTCTATGTAAAATTAATTGTGTTTTTGGTGTTTTTAACAATTTTAAATTATACAGATTGTTTTTTAACTGTCGAACATATGAACCGGGATCTAATGTTTATCTGAAAGTATGTTTGAATAGTAATTTTAGTTTATCCAAATTACAATGATCTCGTCTTATATTTTGTTTCGATATATTCCACATTGATTTCAAGATTTCCGCCAATAGTAGTGGACTAAAAAAGCCCGCATGTCAAATTAGATCCGGTCCATATAAGACCTCGTTAAAACCGGACCAAACCCATCATTTTCTAATTCGTATTTGGTTAACGGCTGGCCACAGAGTCACAGACCGGACCAGACCTGTATTCTACAACAGACTTGCATATTCCTCAAGTTTTCACGTATAATAGTAAAAAAGACTCAAAAATGATATTTAGAACTAATCAAATTCGGATCTGACTATTCCTCTGTAAACAAACTGTTACTGCAAAATTCTCAATAAAGTCTATAAGATTAATGAACCTAAATAACTTGCACAACATATGGCTGCAAAGGCATGTTTTTCCCGGCCTTTCAATTGACTATATAATCAGTATCACTCGAGAACAGATCATTACCGATACCGAAAATAAAGCAGAATCACTTCATCTACTCAGACATCAAGTCCGTTACCAAACCGCGCCTTTGTGTTCTCCTATTCCTTTCATAATCAAGATCATCAGTAGGTAGCTCATACCGACAAACCGGGCATGTATTCCTTAACCCTAACCAAGGTATTATACACTCTCCATGATAGTAATGCCTACAAGGAAGCCTCTTAACTTTCTCCTCAACCAAAACTTCGTCTTTGCATATCGCGCAAACAATGTTCCCGTCTCTCAATTCCTCAGAGGTAATTTCCACAGCAGGAAGATCCTCCACTACCCTTTTGGATGCTGGAGGACTTGCCATGATTACATCATCGTTATTATCGAACAAAACAGCATCGTTAACGAACAAGTTCTCTATACTACTATCTAGATAAACGTCCAAAAAATCCACATCCATCACACCATCATCAAAGCTATCATCTAACAAAAACTGCCAATGA